TCTTATAAAACTAAAATATGAGTATATAAGGTAATTTAAAAAAAAAAAAAAGCATTAAATATTAAAACCGAAAAATAAGAATTATGATGATTATTTTTTTTATTAATAAATTATAAATTTTACATTAAATTTACAGATATTCTTCTAATTGTTTATATCCATTTTAATTAAAGAAAAAAGTTTGATAATTTTTATTTATTAATACAAAAACTTTTTTATTATCAGGAAATCAAAAAAGTCATTTGACTTTTAAAAACGATAAATTCTAGTAATCTGAAAATTTTCAATTTTTATACCAATATTCATTGAATAAATAGAATTTAATTCAAAATATCAAATGCTTAAAACATAACTGCATTAAAGTTGCAAATAAAAATATCAAATTTAAAAAATTAAATGTTTTCTGGTAAAATTTTCTGTTTAAAAAGAACATGCATCTCATTTAACACAAAATCAACTTTAATAATTCAGTTTATTCACCCTAAATTGCTTTTCTGGATTTCAAAACTATCATCCTAGTGCTTTCAGATTCCTAAAGTATCTTCAGGGACATCAACAGCCAAAATCAATAAACAAAATGCACATTCATTAAAAACTAAACAAATCATTTAAATTATTAAATCTTTCAATAAACTCTAGCAAAACAAAAGTTATGATTTTTAGTCTGGTTAGAAACTCTAATAATTTTTTCCTTAATAGCCAGTGTCTAGAAATTGTTAATGTTTGCAATCTCAGTGTCATATTTGATAACACACTTTCTTTTAACCTACATATAGAAAATCTAATTAAAAAGATATGAAATGCTTTGGCAAAATTTTGAAAACATTTCAAATAAAAACACACTCAGGCTATTTTTTCACTAATTTCCAATCTATATGCATTACCTATATGGTCCTCTCCTCCTGCATTAAATAAACTTAATGTAGAGCTAAACAAAATATTTTACCCTCAACAAACTCTTGCATCTGCCAGCTACTAACTCTCCTGATGTTGAATGAATCTGTCTTGGCTTTCCTAACTTATTCCAACATATAAAATCACTTTGATCGTATTTATACGTACAAATATTTTAACGGCCTTCTTCCTACTCATTATACCTTTATCAACAAGGCATAGTAACCAAAACAAAACAGAAATTAAAAAAGTGTGTCAGTGTGTGTGTGTTTGTATTCAGGAATTTCTAAAAACATGTATTCAACATAGTGGCCTTCCGTAGTGTAATGTATATGTTTCTATTCAATTGTAATGTGCCAGGCTTTTGTGTAGTGTGTGGAAATGAGAAGAATGAGTGAACACAAAGCAGACATACGTCATAACAGAGCCACCACGTCACTGTCGGTGTATGCTTCTGACCCGGATATTACGGTTGACTTCGCAGGGGCAACGTTAATAGTTAAAACGACACAGATGGACCACCTCAAATGGCTAGAGGCGGTGGAGATATTTAAGACACACACTTCATCGGAGTGCATTAATACACGGGAGGAGATGGCTCTTTCGTACACTTGGTAGGACGTTTTGCATAATGATTCGTAAAGATTGATTTAACACCAGATGATGTGGGGGGAACACATGACATGGAAGGCTAGAATACTACATTGTATGAATAATGAGAGAAATTACATAATGATTAGAAGATTGAATGGGACTCTGAACAACCGGGAACACAACGTGTACAACGCATGCGCAATGGACACTGAGCATTCGAAATATCATCATTTGTTTTTTGAAAAATTTCATAGCGGTGTTCCAGAATATAAAAAATCCAGTTTGAAAACCTGAGGAAGAACACGGAAGGTGTTCCGAAAACGTTTGTACGTTAATATTTTACGATTTCGCATCGGTTACAGGCTTAAGTAAGTCGTAAAATTAGAAGTATTTATTACTTTATAGAAATTTGAAATAACACAAAATTTTAAAGAATAGCACCAACAAAATCCTAAGTTTATTATATTTCTCTCTTTTTCTGTACATGCTTTACTAAAAATTTTGTTAGTACAAAATGAAGTGTTTATTTTCAAAACATCTCTTGTTCACATTTCAACATTTTTAACAAATGAAAAAGTTTTAGTGTGTCATAAATCTACTGAATGCAGAAATATTTCATATCCTAATTATTGAGACTGACAAGAGTTTATTTTCATAATCATTTCATTGTCTTATGCAACATTACAGAATAATTGAAGAAATTTAGTTTGACAAAGGCCAATTTCAAACTAAAGATGGGAACAAAGGATATTCTGAAAGCATATTTTGTAAAACAAAGAGATAGTTTAAAAAACCTATAAAAGCAAGATAGCAGTCATCATAAGTTTTCACTTATGTCTGCCATCTTGTCATTTTGATTGTAAATACATATTTAAAAGTAAAGTAATTTTTTACAGTTTATATGAAATTTTGAAACAAAAGTAAAACAGAAATAAAAGGAGAAACGATCAATGAATCAATATCTCAATTTTAAAAATTTGGCAAAAGATGCTTTGAAAATAAGCACTTCAAATGATAGCAATTCAAACAGCAGTGCTGTAATTTCATGTAGATAATCCACAGGCTATCTGTTTAAAAAATGCTGAAATTTGAAATCAGATACAAGCTATAGAATGAGATAGGTTATATGCCAGTTTTTAATTGCAATTACAAACTCGTCAAACAGTTTTTCCTTCATCTAAAGTCATGATTGTATTCACCACCTCAAGTTAAATCTAGAGTAAAATTTAAATCATGAGTTCA